TCGAGAAAGTTTGAGCCCGTGTGCAGTTCCGGTGATTCTCGTGCCAAAGAAGGATCACACCTGGCGGATGTGTGTAGACTGCCGAGCCATCAATCAAATTACAGTTAAGTATCGTCATCCAATTCCACGATTAGATGATATGCTTGAAGAATTACATGGATCTACGGTGTTTTCCAAGATTTATTTGAGATCAGGTTACCACCAAATTCGTATGAAGGAGGGAGACGAGTGGAAGACTGCGTTTAAGACCAAGCAGGGTCTAAACGAATGGATGGTGATGCCCTTTGGTTTAACCAATGCTCCTAGCACTTTCATGAGGCTGATGAACCATGTTTTGAGGTCATTCATTGGCAAGTTCGTGGTCGTATACTTCGACGACATTCTGATCTACTCGAAGTGCATGGAGGATCATCTCAATCACTTGAGAGAGGTGTTGGCGATGTTGAGAAAGGAGAAATTGTATGCTAACCTCAAGAAGTGCTCGTTTTGCACTTCTAGTGTTATTTTTCTTGGTTTTGTGGTGAGTGCAGATGGAGTCAAGGTGGATGAAGAGAAGGTGAAAGCAATTCGCGATTGGCCTATTCCAACCAACGTGAATGAGGTGCGGAGCTTTCATGGGCTTGCTGGATTTTATCGTCGATTTGTGCCCAACTTCAGCACCATTGCCGCACCATTGACATCCATCATCAAGAAGAACGTGACGTTCTATTGGGGAGAGGAGCAGACCAGAGCATTCGAGCTGCTCAAGCACAAGCTCACGCATTCACCTATTCTGATGTTGCCGGATTTCAATAAGACATTCGAGGTGGAGTGTGATGCTTCTGGTTTGGGAATTGGAGCAGTGTTGATGCAAGAGAAGAAGCCGATTGCTTACTTCAGCGAGAAGTTGAGTGGGGCTGCCCTCAACTATCCGACGTACGACAAGGAGCTTTATGCTCTAGTTCGAGCCTTAGAGACATGGCAGCACTATCTTTGGCCGAAGGAGTTCGTGATTCACACTGATCACGAGTCATTGAAGTATTTGAAAGCTCAACACAAGCTGAACAAGAGACATGCTCGATGGGTTGAGTTCATTGAGTCCTTTCCATATGTGATCAAGTACAAGCAGGGAAAAGAAAATGTAGTTGCTGATGCCCTATCTCGAAGACATTCGTTGATCACGACAATGGGGGTGAAGTATTTGGGTTTTGAGCATATCAAGGAGCTCTATTCTGATGATGCTGACTTTGGGGAGATCTATAGAGCTTGTGAGCAGCATGGCGATGGGAAGTTCTATCGAAGTGATGGCTACTTGTTTCGAGCTAACCAGTTGTGTATTCCTCGATCATCACTTCGAGAGTTGTTGTTGAAAGAGGCTCATGGAGGAGGTTTAATGGCACATTTCGGTGTAGACAAGACGCTGAGTTGTCTACAAGAGCACTTCTATTGGCCGCACATGAAGGGAGACGTGGAGAATCTGTGTGTGAGGTGTGTGGAGTGCAAGCAGGCCAAGTCGAAGGTGCAATCATCTGGATTGTACACACCGCTACCGATTCCATATGCTCCATGGATCGACATCTCTATGGATTTTGTGCTTGGTTTGCCGCGGACAAGGAAGGGAAGAGATTCGATTTTCGTGGTGGTGGATCGATTCTCGAAGATGGCACACTTTATCCCATGCCATAAGACTGACGATGCGGTTAACGTGGCTGATTTGTTTTTCAGGGAAGTAGTGCGATTGCATGGGATGCCGTGTTCCATAGTATCCGATCGAGATACTAAGTTTCTGAGTTTCTTCTGGAAGACGTTGTGGAGCAAACTGGGGACGAAGCTGTTGTTCTCTACTACATGTCACCCTCAAACCGATGGGCAAACAGAGGTGGTCAATCGAACATTATCCCAGATGCTTCGAGCTGTGATCAAGAGCAACATCAAGGTTTGGGAGGACTGCCTTCCCCATGTAGAGTTTGCTTTTAACAGGATGGTGCACTCGACGACGAAGTTCACTCCGTTCGTGTATGGTTTCAATCCACTCACTCCCTTGGATTTGATGCCATTACCTTTGAATGAGCAGGTCAATCTCGATGGAGCCAAGAAAGCTGAGTTCATGAAGAGTTTACATGAGAAGGCGAGATTGAACATTGAGATAAGGACGGAGCAGATCATGCGCAATGTGAACAAAAACAGAAAACCGAGGCACTTTGAAGTTGGCGACTGGGTGTGGGTGCATTTGAGGAAGGAGAGGTTTCCCTAGCAGAGGAAATCAAAGTTAATGCCCCGATGTGATGGTCCTTTCCAGGTGGTTTCGAAGATTGGAAGCAATGCCTACAAGATCGACTTGCCAGGAGAGTATGGAGTAAGTGCAACGTTTAATGTTTCTGACCTTGCACCTTATTTGGATGGCAATTCGGATTTGAGGGCAAATCCTTTTGAAGAAGGAGGGGCTGATGAGGACATCAATGGGCCAGTCACACGTGCTAAGGCAAGGACGTTGAAGGAGAAGCTTGCGACATATTTGAATAGCTACTTTGGAGCCATGGATGTGGAGCTATTTCGAGGGAAGCCATATATGATGATTCGAGTGGAGGAAGAAGGAGGAAGTGCTGAAGAGAAGGCAGATTGCAAGAAGCAGCCTTAACGGGTTTGCTTAACGGGTCCAGCCTTAACGGGTTTACTTAACGGGTCCAGGCTTAACGGTTTGGGCTTAACGGGTTTGCTGGGCTATTTCCGAGTTTCCTTGTTTTAAAGTCGGTTTATGATTGTTTTTCCATGTTGGAGTCGGATTTGGGTTGTATTTTGCCTATTTAAAGGGCTGAACACGTTGGTTTTACCCGAAGACGATTATTATTGAATTTCAGAGGCTAAAGCCGAGTTCCTACGCGGAATTTGCCCTAATATCTCTGTCGAGAATCTCCAGAGTGCTAGAGCGACTCTTATCAGCTAGGTAATCACCCTGGTTGTGGCGAGCTACCCATATCGATTGCCCTTTATTCCGAGTTGAATCTGTCCGATCGATTCATATATCGATTGCCCTTATTCACGGGTGAGTACTGTCCGATCGATTTCCATCCTATCCGGTTCTGTTTGGTTCGAGAAGCTTGAGCGACTCTTATCAGCTAGGTAATCACCCTGGTTGTGGCGAGCTACCCATATCGATTGCCCTTTATTCCGAGTTGAATCTGTCCGATCGATTCATATATCGATTGCCCTTATTCACGGGTGAGTAAGGCAAGCTCCACATCCATGGTTCCAAAGTAGCTATTCAAATATGTCGCAAGCTTCTCCTTCAACGTCCTTGCCTTATATCACAACTCTTTTGAGACCCTGCAAAAAAGATAGGTAGAATCTCCCGGAAAAAGGATTTGATGGGTGGAGGAAAGCCAGAAGCGGCGACGCATGATGGCGTTGGGCAGCAAACTGCTCGAGCGCACGGTGGCGATAATGAGTGTAATCCCCAATAACGAACACAATCGAAATCCCCAATTCCGTTCGTGTTTCTCCGAATCGTTTCCCAGCCATGGATCCCAATCGCACGATCTCGAGCTTCGGCTACGATCCTCAAGCGGTGCGACTGTCGCACTCGCGAGCGACGAATCGTCTCCCGGATTAGCATCCTCCTCGAGCGAACCCGAACTTGGATCGGAACCAAAGAGGCAGAAGGTCGAGGAAGCCGCCGCCGCCGACAAAAGCAGCGACGAGGTCCCCGACGACGATGATGCAGGTGATAGCGGCAAGGAAGAAGAAGAAGCCTCCCATGCTGTAAACCAAAACTGACCGGATGCGCAGTTCCCTTTTTACTTTCCCAAGTTTTCTCGTTTCGGTTGCCAAATTTATGACATGAAAACAGAAAACAGGAAATGAAAATGGAAGTGAACAGAGTCTAATTAAAAATAAATATATATGGTTATTACTTATTACAAAGTCATCATTTTCCATCATGGGATTTGAAGGTGTGAAATTTTAAGCGAAATGAAAATGGAAGTGAACAGAGTCTAATTAAAAATAAATATATATGGTTATTACTTATTACAAAGTCATCATTTTCCATCATGGGATTTGAAGGTGTGAAATTTTAAGCGAGTTCCAATTTGTATTCCTTTTGCTTCTCTCTTGATTTTTCTTTTTCAACCGGGCTAGAATTTTCAACAATTATACACATGTTTGGCTAGGTATCTACACATATAAAATAAATAGTTTCAATTTTTTTGTAACAAGGTAAATAATTATCATCTTAAATACATCACCATAAAAGAATTAAGTCTCAACTATGCAAATTACAGTTCGGTACCTAAACTTAATAAATCTTTAAATTTATAACCTAAATTAATTTTTTTGTCATATAAGTCCTCAAAACATGTCTAATTTTTGTATGTGTAATTAAAGCACCCTATAATAAAAGGGTATCCATACTCAACTCATACAAATTTAGATTATGGAAGTAAATATCCATACACTACCCAAACCCATATATTACTAACAAAACTGTTAACAAAAAAATAATTTTAGACCAATAATACTAACAAAACACCATAACGGACCACATAATTTATGCCTATAGACAATCTCCGTTACACGACAAGGCGCGTCATCGCCACCTATTATATACTCAAATGCGAAGTTAATCGCATTCGTGATAAAGAAGAAGAAAAAACAAATCAGGGGACGGAGCCATGGTATCTGCAAATGATATTGACTGTACTATTGACACAATAAGATACCGCAGAATTGCCCTCAAAATAATTGGTATTACTGTTACAGCTTTAGTTGGGATAAATGTCGGCTACTGGCATGTTATTGGGGATCTAGATTCGAATACTTCCCCTCAAATGATCATTGCTATGAATAATATTCTGAAATCTAACCTTTCATTTGTCTTGCCCAGCAAAATCGTAATTAAGAATGAACTATAAAAGGCAATGGCTTTCAGTCGATATACATATCAATTGCTACACAAAACTTATATAGCAACAACTACTCCCTCCCTCCCGGAAAGAAAAACAAAAGAGAAGAAAATGTGCATTATGTTGACCAAAATACTGGCTGTGATTCTTCTGTTAACCATCACAATGGTGAGTCCATCAACCTCTTATAGGCTTCAGATTAATGTTTTGAATCAGTTGAGTAAAGGGCGCAAGATCACGGTGCGATGCGAGTCTAAAGATGACGACTTGGGTTCTCGGCGCCTAGTCAACGGTGATGTGTATAGTTGGAGTTTTTCGCGCAACATTTTCGGCACAACGCTTTTCTGGTGTGATGTAGCTACTGCTCGTAGCAAGAAGCATCTTTCTTTCAATGCATACGACGAAAGCCAGAGAAAGAAAGGGTTGCCCAAACTTCATGAACTTACATGGGAGATCAAGGACGACGGGCTTTATTTTGCCGGTTTTCCTATGCCCATTGCACCATGGGTCTCAGAGTAAGGTGTATGTCATGTATTCTTTGGTTGTGGTTTGTTTCGGCTAATTTGGATCATGGTACTGTGTCGCAATGTTGGTTTCATTTAATGCATGTATCTGTATTGATGGATTGATGCATTTGTTTTGTGCGTACCTCCACGCTTGCAAAACATAAATATTGTTTCAACTTTAGCTAGCCGTAAGTTTCATTGTTTGTAAGGACTATTAATTACTACCTTGGTTTTACATATTTTATCTAAAGGAAGTGAAATAAATGTCGTTTAAAGCTAGTCCTAGAAGTTAAAAAGTAAAAACTACCGTTTCATGTTTGTATATAAGAAAAAAAATTTACCCATGTTGGAGATATATCGTTTTGCACGAATCAGATAGCGTGCTAAAACCTTTAGTATTAGCACCCTGCTAACAATCATTATAAGGACATTTTGGTAACTGCGTCATCAGTATGGTTCCTTCCTTTTGTTGGGCCTTTTTATTCGCTAACCACTAGCGGAAAGCACAGTGGCTGCCACTGTATGGAATCGATGGATCCGGCATCGGAGAACAGATGCCGATGGGAGTGGAGGTATGCAGCGGTTGACGAGGGCACCAAAGAGAAACCCCAAAATCATCGATTGCTAGCGGTTGTTTCTGGTCCTTCGAGTGGTTACCCTCCGGCTCCCAATTATTATTGAAGATGACTAGGAAGATACGGCGGCAACAATGGACTCCTTGCCCCTCCTTACAGACGGCGATGGCCCAATGGGTGATGATAATTCGATGATACTCGGCGGTCCTTGTTGCTGTCGTGATGAATTAATAGTGAAGCAAGTTTATTTCAATTGAATTTTTTTTCCATATGGAATCCACTAATATCCCGTGGCTGGTTAAGGGCGACTTTAATGCTTATTGTTTACCCGAAGAAAAACTTGGAGCTAGTTGAGCAGCAGCCCTGCGAAGATGCTAACGGTTAAGCAACTAGATGAATGAATTTGAACATATGGATTTAGGGTTCAAAGGCCCTTGCTTTACTTGGTTTAGAGGCAACACGAAGAACAACAGAAAAACCAGTCGTCTGGATAGGTCCTTATGCAACTCCATATGGAATCTCACTTTCCCAAACACAACATTGATCATCTTCCTATTATGATCTTGGTTAACAGAAAACATGCTAGTGAGCAGGGAAGATGAAACAACTACAAGTTTGAGGCAACGTGGTTGACTGATGAGAGATTTTTCAGAATTCCTCAACACCAATTGGAATAAGGAAATATCTCTTCAACAAGCGCTGCAGGAAATCTCACCCAAGCTGTTGGACTAGAATGAAAAACATTTTTGGGTCTATTAACAAGAGGAAGAAAAGATTAATGGCTTGGCTTAATGGCATCACTATTCGTCTTTCAAACTTCTTCACCCCGGGTCTTCTTAAACTGCAGATTAAACTAGAAGAAGAACTTGACATGGTTTTAGTCCAAGAAGAACTAATATGGTTTTAGAGAGCACAAGAGAAATGGGTGAGCTTCGGAGAACAGAAAACCTCGTATTTCCACCATCAGGAAACCCAACGCAAAAGGAGAAACAAAATCCTTACCTTACAAGACTCTGAGAGGAATTGAATTGATGACCAAGATGCTCTTCCCAAGATGGTCCTGGATTTCTATAGAAATTTATATATAGAGGATGGTACTTATTATGAAGATCTCATGCCTCATAATTGCTTCCCCAGACTTATTCAAGAGGCCGTCATGGCACTGCACCATCCATTCCACATTTCATACATTCATAAAGCAATGTTCGAGATGAAACATTTTTCCGCAACTGGTTCGGATGGCTTTCAAGCTCTCTTTTACCAAAAATTCTGGTCGGTGGTGGGGAAGAGTCTCTATGACACGGCAACAAACTTTTTTGAGAAAAGGAGAAATGGCAGAGTCGACCTCAGACTCAACTCTCATCCTTATACCTCAGAAAAATCAGTCAGAGTCACTTGCACACTTCAGACCAATCTGTCTAAACAACGTAGCCCTCAAAGTAGTGATAAAGACAATCACAAAGATTGATACCTCTCATGTCGAAGCTCATTGCACCTAATCTAAGTGGATTCATTCAAGGTAGACAGACAATCGATAATGTTATCTTGCTCCAAGAAACTCTTCACTCTCTAAGATACAGGAAATGGAAGAAAGGGGACTTGGTTATCAAGATATATTTAGAAAAAGCCTACGACAGACTTTGCTGGGACTTCATCAGGGATACTTTAAAGGATATTGACTTTGCTGTATAGAGAGGAATAAAATGAAAATCAATTGGAATGTAGTGATCTCAGACCCCATCACCCCGTCTAGGGGAGTTCGCCAGTGAGATCCCCTTTGCCCTTTTCTTTTTATCCTTTGTATGGAGAGATTAGCTCAAAAAATTGATTAAGCAGTAGAGAATAAAATTTGGAAACCTCTTTGACTTTCAAAGGATGGACCAAAGATCTCTCACTTATTTTTCGCTGATGATTTAGTGTTTTTTTGCAGAAGCTGGAGGGAGCCAGATAGACATTATCAAGAAATGCCTTGACGACTTTTGTAGATGCTACAGAAAGTGGGTGAACCTTTCCAAATCTGTCATGTTTGTCTCTCCAAACGTGCAGTAGGACAAGGCAATTCGTCTTAGCAATCGAGTTGGAAACCCCCTTACAATGGATCTAGGGAGATATATAGGCATGATGACGATCAACGAGAGAAATACCAAAGCACGCTACAAAGAGCTACTGTTGAAAATATAGAACAAGCTAGCAGCTTGGAAGACCAAACACAAATCCATAGTCGAATATTACCATTTAGCCCATGTTTTCTGAAATCCTTCCTATTGGTGTGTGTAGTGCGATTGACAGGTGAAATAGACGATTCTTATCAGGGGAATAAGAAGGCAAAACGAAATTTAACTTAGTAGCATGGGACCATTTGATGCTACCCCGCAATCAGAGAGGGCTAGGCATAAGACCTACAAGACTAACTAACAAGGCGATGCTTGCGAAGGTGCCTGGAAAGTGGTGTTTGGGGATCAAACAATGTGGACTCGAGTACTCTGAAACAAGTATGGCAACAAGAAAGAAGGTATACAACTGCTATCCAAATCAAAGGGAAGTTCTCATGCTTGGAAAAGCTTTTCTCAAACTGCAAACCTCTTGCGTAAAGGAGTTGCAAAAATGTTAAGAACATGTACAACATTAATTTTTGGTTAGACTCCTGGATTTCCCAGGAACCTTTGATCAAATTTTGTTACGAACAAAGATGCAACAAAGGAAGGTGGCGGATTATTGGAACCTTGACACAGGCTAGAAGATAGAAGAAATCTACGTCTACCTCCCAACTGACATCCTAGACAAAATTCGCTCCAACATGTTTGACCTAGTCTCGACATCAGAGGATCAGTTGTTCTGGAAAGACTCATCAAATGGCAGATTCCACACTTCCTCTGCCTACAAATTAGCAGACTCTCGACACACAAATTATAATCTAAGACATTGGCGGAATATATGTTGCACACCCCAGAACGGGCCGTCTTTTCATGTGGACTGCAGCTAAAGAGAGTCTTATGACCAACAAAATACAAAAATATAGACACGTCACAACAGATGATAAATGCCCGCTTTGTGAGACAGAGTTTGAGTTTAATCTACACTGCCTAAGGGACTGCCATCAGGTAAAAAAGGTTTGGGAAAGAGTGGTCACTCCGCAGCTCCAGCAGTTCTTCTTTAACATGTTGTATAGTACATGGATTCAGAGCAACATTGAAAAGGAAGATAAAGCAGATGACATAGGAGAGTGGTCGAGTTTCTTTCGCTTATATATTGGTACATTTGGAAGCATATGAATGATTTCATCTTCAAGTTGGTAAGGCTGTCAAGTTCTACTATGATCAACTACATTGTTACTAAGGCAAAGGAGTGGACTAGAAATTAGAAAAGAGCCGCTGAAAAACAACAGATGCTTGCTAATACTACTCGAGAGGAACAACTCATCAATCGGTTACTCCGCCACCAGGATGGGTTAAACTCAATGCTGATGGTGCAGCTTAGGGAACTCCAGGACTTATAACTGCAAAGGGCTACCTCAGAGATAAAGATGGAGACTGGCAAGAGAGTTTTTGCAGCAAAATGAGGTTTGGTTCAGCCATCTTGGCAGAACTTTGGGGAATACAGAAAGGTCTTGAACTAGCTTGGAAGAGAGGAGTGCAATGTCTCATAGTTGAAACAGATTCGCAGTTAGCAGTAAAGTTAGATTGAGAATAGGACATATCCGGTTCATCCTCATGCCACAATCCTAAGTTTGATACGGCAAATGCATACCATAAATCATTTAAAGCATACTAGAAATCTTATAAAGTACACAAGTTCCATAAAGTATACAACAAGTCCTATTAAGTAAACCGCAAGTTTCTTGAAACAGACCACAAGCTCTCTGAAGCATACTAGAACCCTCATAAAGCAGACCACAAGTGTTTTAAAGCAAACCAAAAGCCTCATAAAGCACATCATAATTCTCGTAAAGAATACTAGAACCAATATAAAAAAACCACAAGTTTTTTAAAGTATACCATAATTCTTATCAACAATACCACAACCCTCTCTTCTGCAAAATCAAAGCTGAGGCAAACGAGAAAGAAGGAAATCCCACAAGAAAACCCTACCCCATACCTACATAGTTCCAGTCCATAACTGAGATTCCATCTCTTCTCCCGTGCTTAGGCGGTTAGGCCTAGCCGCCTAGCTAGCTACCTTGTTTCTATTTTATGGACAACGAGCAATGCACCAAAAGTGTGTTTGGGCAAGGAAAGCGGAAAGATTCTTGTAACTCGTTGTCCTCCTAGCTAGGTGGGTGTGTTGATTGCTATATGTGCAACGATTGGATGCTACGGGAATAATAGAGTTGATTCCTAGTTGTAGTTTCCTTGTAATACAAGTATTCTTTTTCTAGTTGTGCACTGTTAATATGTTTGTAACCTGGGTTATCAATACTCCTCTCTTGTTAATAATACAA